GGTTTCACTGAACTTTGCCTTTTATTTTTTTTTTCCTGAATTGACAGTTGAGTTTTTAAACAGATTCAATCTTGCATTAATGCCCCAATTGGCTTCCTAAACTTCCTAAACACTGTTCCTGCCGAACAGTGACCTTAATAACTATTCACCTTTAAAGAGAAAAGCAAGCATTCAAACACCACCAATTGTCCAGACACCAAGGAAGGAACACCTGTTACAGAAATTCCTGACATTAATTTACACATTTTTCGTGCTGAAAATCGTAGAAATAAGGGTTTGAAATGCTACAGGTTTATTCCTATATTTGAAATAAAAGCTTACAAATGCTCGCTAACCAATACACCAAGAAATAGAACATTCTCAGCATTTTCCAAAGCAAACTTTCCAAAATTTCCTCAGACTTGTGGTTCACTTTAATAATGCACAAAGTTAATGTTATTTTGATTAGTGTCATTTCATTGGATTAAACATACACAAGTCTTTGCCACAGTGAGCATAGAAGGTGGAAATAAATGCCCATAAAATTCTATTTCACCTTTTTAATGACAGAAACAAGACTTGCTGAACTACTGTCCTGCATGGTCCGTGAAATGCTTTTTTAAAAAAACTCACAGTTAACAGATTTACTTTATGGAAAGCTTCCTTTTTAGCTTCATCAAAAGAGAAGAAGAACAAGCTTTGATAATGTAAATGTTTGAGTCCTCATTATGAATAAGAAATGGTCTTACTTCACATCTCATTTCCCAACTGTGTGTCCAGGTCCCACATGGGGTGGGTCTGTCACAGGCAGTGCAGGGGCTGCACAGACTGCAGACCCAGGAGAGGACAGAATGTGGCAAGGGACATAGTCTGACAACTGAATTAAGAAACTAGCTGTGTTCAGTTTAAGCTGGAAAATAAAAATAAAAACTTTGGAAAGTGAATATACAATTGAAATGCATTGTGAAAATCCTGAAGATGTCTTGATACTTGCTAAGAAATAAACTACCTGCAATGTCCCTACTATTTAATTACCATTGTACCAGAGCTGCTTTTTCACTGACCAGAGCACACAGTCTCTATCTCACAGCTTGGTTTCATGAAATCACTATGACAATATGACTATTGATTTCTTAAACAGCATCCATTACCTCCTCTTCTGTGTGCTGCAGTTCAGTGATAAATGGCAACTTGGTTTACTTTCAATTAGCCACAGATGAAGACTTAAAACCAAAAAATCAGTCTCTTACCAAGCTTCACAAAAAATACAACTTTACAAAAGTATCTCAGGAGGGCTGGAAGAGAATGAGTATATAATGAGCAGGGAAGCATTTTCTATGACTATAGTTATTTATTCCTTATTTTAAAAAGGCTTTATATGCTCAATTAACTATTGACTTGCAGACCTCTGTAGGTCAAATGAGAAAAGGTAAAGAGAGTAATGTAAAAGCCAGAAAATTAATGGAATATATTTGTCAGTTCTGAACAGCAAATAGTGAATTCAGACTGGTTTAGAAAAAAGGTGCAAAGCTCTGAAATTTGTGAGGATTCACCAAATTAGGAAGCTATGGTTTAGCAAATGAATAAAAAATTTTAGCACATAATAGATGAATAATGGCTCCATATCTGTACATATATACATACACTACACATTTCCTATACACTGTACAGAAAATATTTAGACAGAGAGGTATAAGCATATACATTCATACACACATACATACATACAGCTATTTACATATGCATCATCTGCTCGAGTGAGTTCTAGAACTGAACATGCAGAAATGCACAACGGTGGGAGGCACAAAATAGACATGTACAACTCTATCAAACCCCTTAAAAAGAAAGGCAGGAATTTAACAATAATAAGCCATTTTCAAAGCATTCATGTAACAAAGAGGACTGAACAGATTGTGGGCATTAATGGAACATTACAACAGTACTACCTGTGATGAACTTAGCATGACTTCACAATAAAAAACATCTAAACTTCAGATGCTTAAACTTAGAGCATCTAAACTTTACAAAGAATTTTACTTTAACTTGTAACCCCGGTATAAATAATGTTGTAATTTTTTTTTCACAAATAATTTCCCATATGTTGATAGCACTGATTGCACCTGAAGTAGGCTTGTAGCATTATCTAACAAGATGGGCTAATGGCATCAAACAATAAGCCTGAACTTAATTCAGGAGTATTTACTGTTAAAATGACTCAGCAACTTTAGAATGAAAAGGTGCAAAAAGTAAATGCTTTCATTTGCTCTCCTTTGCCATCCCCTCTTGGTAATTTTTCATATAAAGCTGTTTCTACACTAATTTCCTGTCATTTAAGATCCAGTAGATGCTGGCAATTTGTCCTTCCTCTGCCCCTCACTTTCCTCTCTAGGGTGACCATGCCCTCATTTCGCTGATCCCTGCTGGATGTTGGGAAGTATTAGGACTGCAGACTGTTGTGTGCTGTTTTCAGCTGGCCCATGCTTATCACCAAAGCCATCTACTGCAAAAGCTCTGCTGTATAGCCAGTGTGGCAAACCCTGGGAACAGGTGGGCATCTGCCTGTGTTTTCTGGGATTTATGCTTTTCCTCTTATGGACAAGAGTAGGTGAAAAAAACACCTGGTTTTGTACTATTAAGAGTAACAGGGGAGGAAGAGAGGGATCTCAAATAGAAAATCAACATTTTTGGTCTTTCCAGGATGGTATCATCCAGTAGATGTGTGCTGGTACACCTGTGCATCTGACTGACCTGCCAGTTTTACTGCTCACTTCTCCTGATTCAAACAGGGCCCTGACTGGTGCTGTTAGCGCAGGAAGCTGCTTTGTCACTGCTTGAGCAGCCCATTCATTTCCAGTTCTGTCTTCCTGGTTAAACTGTATTCCTGAAACCCTGTGCTAGTCATGCTATTTGGTGCTAATTTTTTTTTTTTTATTATTGTCTTTTACTAATTAAACAACAGGTAATCAAGAAAGAATCCTAACTACTGTCTGAACTTTAATGGCCAGGAAAACCTACTGACACCTGCAGTATCCTGAATGAAGTAATTCAGGACTCTGTGAGTTCTGTGTACTATACAGTTCTGTGTACTATACAGACTGTAAAACACAAGTGTTTTACAGTCTCTGCCAAAGGAGAAACAAGAGTCACGAAACTGATTTCACCTGGGAGCTTCAGCCCTGACTTGGTTTCTCTATGGCAGCCTCAGAATTTGCCCTTTGCCAAAGGGAACTGTAATGGTGATGCAGAGCTGCTGGATTCTGCACACACTGGAACCAGAGCTCCTCACCAGAGGCATCATGGCTTTCTGGGGGCCACGGGCTTCAGAAGATGGTGCAAGGAGACTTGGCAAATGATGCCAACTAATCAGTGGAGAGCAACAATAGTTTCTAGCTGCAGTGTGCTCTGAAAACTAAGCCTTTTTAATGATCTAACATTTTAAGAAAGAAAAGAAACACTAAAAGAAAGCCTTGTATGACTTCTTAGAAGGATCTCTCCTTGGAGATAACTTTTTTCTCCTTTATCAGTTTCATGCCAGAGTAACTCCACAGACACCAAAAGCATTGCAGACAATTTATAAGCAATGTAAATAGGCTGAGAAAGATTACTTTTGCACATGGTATTAGTTCTGACTCTACAGTCCAATGTAAGTAAATAAAAGGAAGAAAAGAGTATACCTTCCTACATTTGTCAAAAATGTAATTAAAATCATTATGACAAAGCTAGTCCCAAATGCTTTTTATCTACAAGACTGAAATCCAGTTCCTTTGCAAAAGAGTTGGAAAACAAATGAAGCACAGTGGACATTACCGCCTCATTATCATTCCCAGCATTGCCTCATTATCATGCCCCGGTCTCACCACAGAGTTCTAACATTTGTCTGACTGAATTATGACTAGTATACACATTTGCTTAGGTTCAGATAAATGTAATCAGATAATTGATTACTGTATTTCTGCCAAGTTAAAATATTTTCATTTGAAGAGCAGCAGAAATACAACCTCAAAGCTTCTGAAGAGAATAAATTTTGGCACTAAGTAGAGCTTCAGTGAGATGAACTTTTCCTGGAATCACTTTGTGACTGTGATAGTTTGACTCCAATTTCTTGTGAAAACAAGTTTGGCATTTAAATTTCACCTTTATGAAAACAAGCTATTTCTATATTTAATACTCAAGAAATAGTTCTTCAATAATTGTTACAATATTAAAAAACTCTCCTGTCCCATGTTCATAAGGAAAAGTTTGCACTTTCCAAGGAGAAAAATAACCAAAATTAATTTAACAGTAAAGCTAATAAGATTAGCCTGTTACCATCTTCCAGTCACTGTAGGAGGGATGGAACAAACCTCAGAAATTTGAAGAGCTATGTCAGTGTTGCAATATTATTTTCAGCGGAGACCGTGCAAAGCTTGCTTGATTGCGCAGCTGCACTGAATGCATCACAGGATCCTGCTGCCACTGAGACAGATTGTTACGAGGAGAAATGGGCCAAGGGGAAGCAAGAGGGGAAGCACAAAGTCCTTTTCCTGGGTAGGAAACAGCCTAGGCACACACATAAGTTCAAATTTCTACAATCCAAAATGTTAGTCTTGGAATCAAAGTAGTGTATAGTTAGAAAGAGTACTTTTTGTTAATGGCATCAGAACTAAGTAGCTTGTTTCTGACCTCTGCAAGCCAGCAAATCATGCTAATGATGCTGCACAGAGAGGGACTTTGTAGCTTTTAGGTGGTAATATCCAAATCTTAAGGATGGAACTGCTCCATTTCATCTATTAAATGCATGCACAACTATGGATTGCATGGTTATTACTTAGTTTACAAAAATTAATATTTTATCCCTTATAAGCTATTTAATAACTATTTGCAGAGTAAGAAACTAGCAGGGTTTGAGCAAGGATATGATTATGTGGCCTTGCATTTTTGGGGAGTGTAGTTTATTTGTAAACAGAACTGCATGGTATTCATTGTTTCAATTTACATATGTAATGCAAGGCACACATTTTACATTTTATTTCGTGTGATCATTTTGTTCCCCAAAAACTAAAATGCCTTTCTTTTCTGAATTGTTATTATCACAAGTAATAAAATTTACAAACAAATTTTCACACAGAAAATGGGGCACTTTTACTTGAGAAATTGGAAGTTGAAATGATGTTTGTCAAGAAAAATCTAGCTGGTGTGTATTGAGATTTAAAACCAAATATTCCAATGGCTAGTTTTTGTGCTAAAGACCATTTAATTTACCATTAAAATGCCTTCTTATCTGCTTAAATAATTTTTACTAAATTCTGAAAGAAAATTAAGTTCCGTAATCCTTTTGGCAATTAAAAAAATCAAAATATTTCAATGCATTCTTTTTGTAGAAGTAAAATTTTAAATTTTAACAAAAGCAGCGACTACTTCTTCCAAGGTAGCTACTGTTTCTGATTTATCTCTTTTAATTTTTAACTTATATGCCTTTAACATAAGGACTGTGCAGCAGAAGTGCTGACACAATCCCACAGCAGTTGCACTTCAGTCAAATGGTTGGTACTAAAAGCTGAAGTCCAGCTGACTTCACGTGTAGAGAGCAGACTTTCCATCGCATGAACAATATGATAATTTCATTTGCTATAGCAAAAGTTGAGACAGATACAAGTGCTGTATTACAAATCTCTGCATGGATACTGGAACTCAGTAATACTCTTCTGAGAAAAGAAGATTCTGAATGTGCTAAAAATAGTAACTATAGGAGACTAATGCATCCAGAAGCTGAAATTAAATAGTCTTTTGTGTAACAGTAAGTGCTACAAATATCAGCCTCCTAACAAACATGAAGTATACAAGTTCTTTTTGTTACTTTCGAAGCCTCATCTAAAGCTGCTTAAGGTCTTTTGGCTACAATTCAGACTCTGAAAAGTCACAAACACCAACCTAGTTTATATTTCTAAATAAATATCAATAACAGAAGAAAAACCAAAGTGCTGAATTTACCATTAGATAAGTTTTGTCACATAAATCTACTAAAGTAAGAATGCCTCTAACACACAAATAATTAAAATAATTAATGCATCTAATGTGCCAGGATCAGGTAGATGAAGGTATTAATTGCTATGACTTAAAAAAAAAATCTTTGATTTTAAAATACTGAACAGCCACAATAGTAAATTATAGTAAAATGAAACCTATGCTAGCAGCTAATGGCCAGTACTACTAGCAGACATATTGATGGCTCATCACTCGAGACAATTAAAAAGTAGTTCATTTTATACCTCCATGGTGCATCAGTCATCAGCTGCAATTGTACATGAGTGAAAGTAAATCCTAACTATATTTTGGTTTCAAAGTGAGTGACGGGAAAGTTGAGAACACTGCAAAATCGGGAGCGCTTCATGAGGGAGGGAAGGAGAAATAAAGTGAGAGAGCTTTGTAATAAACTCTTGCTGACAACCAGAGGTTCTGCACATTTCAGGTCTTAAATTGTACCCTGTGGCTACATTATGAGGGTGTTCAAAGTACAGAGAGGAGGAGTAAATTTGCAGCATACAAAGAGCATACTCAAAGAGCACCACACAGCTCTATTTGAAATTTACTGCCCTTCCAGTTAATGACTGATTTTCCCCTAAGTAAAAAGGCTGCCTCTTAGAATAACGTTTGTCATGATTGTGTTTGTCTGAATAAACACTTTAAGGAACCTGCATATTTAATCATTATTGTGACAAACACTTTTTTTCTTTAGTGTGGGGAATTCCTGTAGCACATAATATGACTGTACTGTACCGTGTATTACAACTGCACTAATTTAACAGATAAAATTTTATATAATGTGGATATCTGATTTAAGAATCCACATTAATATTTCATGCATAACATAACAGCAAGTGACTTTTTGTAGATTAAATGATTGTCTCCTTTAGCATTCTGCATTTTTACAAAAATTGCTAGCATTTTGACTAAAGACATATCAATTTTTTTTCATTTTCCATACTCATAAACAGAATGTTGATGATGCTGTTGCTCTGACAAGAAGTGATTACAAAGTGCTAGTAATTATACCCTGGCATTTGCTAGACATTCATTCCAAGGATATTTTTAAATATATACATACTGTTCTTTTACTTTTAAAGTAATTTTATTACTACTCTGATATTATAAAACTCTTTTTAACCACTGATAGTTTCTAAATACAAAGCATGTGAAAAGTATGTTCAGTAATCTATGGCCTTTTAAATGAAAGGCATCCAAAATATTCCTTGTGGCAGGAAAGGTCCTATAATAGGTCTTTTAATAGCTGCTTTAAATTTTGTCAACATCAAAAAAAGACAACAAGAAATCTCTCAGGAAACTGATAACAATTGGTATTTTCTGCACATACTGAAACACTACTCTTTTAACTTCATAATTATACGGGTTTTGTGAAAATTACTTCAATCCCTCAAATTACATTGTTCCCTCTATGCAGATGTGCCAGTTATTTGTCCATTATATTCTGCTGTTTCCATTTTGAGAATGTAGGGGATTATGCTGTCAATGGGAACGTTTCCAATGAGACCTGTGAAAAACAGTTCCTCAGTGATGCTAGAGCTCATCAGCCTAAGTGCTGGCAGGCGAACTAGGATCCGGGCTAGCCTGAAAAAGAAGTTGAGTGGATTATAAATACATGTAAGACCAGTTTAAGATACTGTATGGCTAAAGAGCTGGATCTGCCTTTATAATTACCATAATTCATGAATAGGTGTAAAGAGGCAATTAAAGCTAATTTGGCTACACCACAAAAAGAATGGTTGCTGTTCTATCCTGCAAGCAAAATGAAACCTAAGTGGCTTTGTAGTTTTCCAATGAAAGGGACATGTTAATGCCCTTTGTAGATAGAACATGTACGTACAAACACACAATTTTCTTGACCTGCTTTTGAAATTCCCAGCTCTGGACAAACAATGCTGAGATTAATGATATTTATGTTGATTAGTGTGAATATTTGCACCATTTTAAGAGCACAATGCTTAATTAAAATTTCAGCCATAAACAGCATAGTCCTCAGTTGCCTAGCAACTTCATGCCACATGAGATAGCAGGAAGGGGGCTGGATGCATATAAACAGAAAAGAGAGAATTGGCTTCTAATGAGAAAAGGAATTTGGGGGAATGTACTGTTAAGCATAAATATTCCCAAATTGCCCTGGTGTTTTATTTACCAAGATGTTAACAGATATCCAGTACAATGAAGTGACTGTATTGAAATGCTAGACTTCCCATTAATATGAAATTTAGGACAGTGATGAAAGCATTTTGGTGCCATTCATATGGCAGATGTGCATCACAAATGCTAAACCAAATAAATTTTCTGAACCAGAGCCACGTAATAGCAAACCTCGAGGAGCACTGACCACAGGTTCTCTGGAAAATGCTTGAATATTTATGGAGAAAATATCTAAGGTCCATCCTGCTAATATACCATGTCTTGTAAACTTTAGGGCAAAAAGATTGAAACTATGCTCTTGTTTTTATGGAAATTGTAACACTTATCCCCTATCTTAATTTCTACCAGCACTCAGTTGCTCAGAAATAAACAGATTTGTTCTCTAAACTTGTCTATAGGGGAGCATGGAGAGAGAGACACTGTTAGGTAAAATACAAGACACTGCTTGGGGAATGTAACTCTGATTTTCTTCCCCAAGACACTACTATGAGAAGTAAGTATATGGAACAAACTTTATATTTAGTTTTATGGTAGATATTCAGCTCTCACTAATCAAACCAGAAGGCCTCAATTGTACATGGAAGAATTTGGGATTTGAGGATATTTCTGAGGCAGACAATCCTATTTTCATTGCACCACAGTGTTAATTCTGCAAGATCAGGGCAGAAAACATAGATGGGAGCAGCTTTCTTTTTCAGACAGGTTTTTTTCTTCTTTTTAGTTACTCCACCCCCAGACAATGCTTAAGTGTATGGGATTTATTCTTTATGTGAGGATGCCTTTCACAGTAAAAAAGAACATGTTCTAGTATATCTTACAGACAAAGGTGAGTAGTTCCCTGAAAATGCAGAGAATTATTGTGTTGATGAATTTTGAGTTTTGATGGAGATTCTTAGAAAATACAGTAATTGTTTCTAGCACATAACAAACAGAAGAGCTGAGAAGTGAAAAAAAACAAGCTAAATAATTTCAGAGAAGTCCTTGGAAATTAAAAAAAAAAAAACACTAAACCCGGGGGAGAAAATAACTAGGATGTGGGAATTTCTTATAAACAGAAGTTTGAGAAATGGTTATTGTTCCTTGTTATATGTGTCATTGTTTTTCCAAGGGCTATAACTGACAGTTTTAACATTTTCCTGCATATGCAACTTAAAAAACATTTCAAGGATGATAATCACCTTTTAGTTGTCAAAGAGACTTTAAAATAATAACTTGAAAAAAGAAGCAGTGTGAATTAGTCAGTTGAAGCAGTTATCCCCCAAACTTCTAAAAAAATAAGTCTGTTTACTTTTCGAAACATGACTATGACCATCTCAAACCCCTCAAAAGCCAAGAAAGTACTAATAAATTTAATTTACATGGAGGAAGCTAGACAGCTATTCTTGTTTCTATATATCTTTAAACAAACCTGCTTTTATGAATTGGGTTTTAGTTCTTTCTCACCAACAGTCAGAAAAAAACCCAAACCCCGGATGTCAAAACCATCAATGACATTATTTCGTACTTCTGTTAGCTGCAGCCCACAACATTACTTTGGGAACTTTAGAGATAAATACCTATAAGTATCTTCTGGATAGGTTTTTTGTACATAGTCCTGCAATTCCATCTGTGCCTTCTCCTGGAATTTTTCTATTTGGGTTGAACTGGTCAGACCAGGGTGATCTAAAGAAACAAAACATTTCTGTATGTCGATAGTTTCCCTATACATTGTGAAATAAATGTATTTATAAGACTCTCACATTTAATTTCAATGAAATATTTCTCTGGTATTGTGATGTTTAACATGCTAGCTGTATAAAGGTAAACATTTACTTCCTGGCTTCAGAATTAGCTTGTTCACTTTTCTCTCTAGAGCTGTGTGTATCCATGAGAAAGTGGGCAAAGATTAAGCCTGTATGAGTGTACCAGGCAAAGACATAGAATTTGTTTTTAGCTTTGCCTGTTTAAATGGTTGCCTCTGTGATTTGTTCTAACTAGGCTGGCTAAGCAGTATCTAGGGTTATTTTCTTGATAGATCAATGTCTTAATCTTCTCAAGTCTGTCTCATGTTTTAATTCCAGCTAGCTCAGCTCCTCAGACAGCCATGTTCTCAGAGCAAAAAAAGGCAAACCCACAAAATATCACCTCTCTTAGTATGCCAAAATATCTTCACTCATGTGTCCAAACTGCTTGTCCCTTGAAATAGGAAAGAGCTACCTTGAGTTTGGATAGTTTCTTGCTTTTCCAACTCAAAACCCCTAACAAACCTAACTCTAATGGAACAATCTCCCCCAAAAAATTCAAAAGAACATTTCAGGACACCAGTATCTTCTAATTAACTTTTATTACAAAGAGAAAAATAGTTACGAATGCAAAAAAAACCCAAGCACACACACCAATAGCAATATATCCTTTTACTTTGTATTCTATTAAATACAAAGTAGTAAATACCTTTGAATTAAAGTAAATAATATGCATTTCTGAGCAAAACCTTCCCTTTTACTCAACCTGTCAGCAGTTTTAGATTAACCTTGGTGTGTCCTTGAAACATTTCCATCTTTGCTGAAAAGACTGCCACTTCTAGTTTCTTTATCGTTCCAGAAAATCTTAAGGGTCTTCTTTGAGTAAATTTTCATATTTCAGAAACTGCTTTAGCTGTCTGCTGTCATTTTTTAGTAACAAATGGAAGACAGCCTATTTACATTCAGTTTTCGAGATTTTGTGGAAGTTTCATATACAATAGGTATTTCTGCTTATATTTCAGCTATTCCTATTATAAGCATATTAAAAATACTAAAATTGAAGCAAATTTCTTTTTGTCACTCAAAAAATGCATTTCTTCTAATCCCCCTCACCATTTACCTCGCTAATATTGCTAGCACACATTCCAGATAATTTATTACTCATAGATTCTCAGCTGAAGGTAACTTGAGAATCTAATCTTCTAGGATGGATATACAGGAAACACCTGATAGATTTGAACTGTAAATAACATGGATATGTTGCTCTGAAGTTATTTTAAGACACATATTATGATAATCATTATGAAACAATAATTTTATCTGCAACAACTCCTCCTTGAGATGAGGAGTCTCCTCTCAAGACATTAGTCTAATTTAAAAAATACTAAAGAATTTGCATATTAAGACTTATTATTTAAAAAGATATGATTACTAAATTCCTTACCAGGGCTAAAAAGGACTATAGCTTTAAGGTATGCATATTCATATCCATCAATATCAAGCTTGGCCATGCTGTTACAGAACTCCTGAAGTTTCCAGATGTGTTCCATGACTTGCTTTATTCTGTCGCCAGAAAGTTTATCTACAAAAAGATATTGCTTACTATTTCATCTGAGCTCAAGCATTTCTAATATATTAACAAATAAAGTTTTATAAACCAGGTCAATGATATTTGCAAATCTTTTGCTGTCTTGGAACCACTTAACATATAAGGATGGCCTGAATTATTATGAAAGCAAAGTGAATTTTTAAAGTCTGAGACAGACCCGGAGCTAGCAAACAATGTTAAGAACATTCTAGCAACAGAATGTTATGCTGTCGCCAGGACAGCATAATCTGCCACACCAAACCGTTTCCAGTGAAGTACTGTTCTGAGCAGAGATTCTGAAATGATGCTGCATTATTCTAAAAATGGCTAGAGTGATTCTCGGAATGAACAGAAGCACAAAGCAAATACTAACGTGCTACCTTAATTTTAAATTCAAACATTATTGAATTAGCCTTTACAAAAGTGAATACAAGAACAAGTAATGACAGTGCTACTTTCTCCTCTATGCGTACTTTTAGGAGTGAACTTTTCATTAGCTATGGTAAATAGTCTTTTTCCCATCTGATAGGGTAAATGCACTGAAATATACATACACAGATTCTTCCATCATTTGAAAGATCACATTCCTTGTATTGGGTTCATAATCTATCTTAAAATTTCAATTTAAAAGATGTATTTTATTTATAGATCTGTTATGAGTGAGTGGTATTAGCTGCTAACCTAGGAAGGGAGAGATTTCTATTTTGGTAAATAGAAATCCTTATATTGGACTCCATATCTAAAACTAGTCAAGGAATAAAAACATTAGAGAATACATTAAGACTTTTTAAAAATACATAATTACTATTATCAAACTTCAGAAGTCAGTTTACAAGGGATAAAAACCTTTCCTTGAAAAACACATTAGAAGAATTTTATTCCAGTCATAATCTCCAATGCTAGTATTTCAAATAATTTTAATTTGAATATCTTATTTTTCTCTATACAGCTTATAGTGCATAGGATTGCTTAGACTCCATGTGGCTTAAACAGAATCTTTGACATAGTTTATTATGATTTGATCTATTTTCTGGAACTGCAATAAGAAGATTAAATGAATGGAAGAACCATTTTTTTCACAGTCTTGAAATAAGAATGAAAGCATAATCTACATTTCTTAAATCATTAATTGTGATACGAATTTTTAGTTACTCGAGATGGATGAAGATAGACATAATGTAATGTTTTTATTTCTGTATTAAATGGGAAAATATGGTCCAGAAAAACTCAGGAAAAGCAATTTTAGAAAATTAGAATTCCAGAGTTTCTAAGCAGCTTCATCACTAATAAATAAAGTTCTGAAATTTCTTTACTTTGTTTTGAATTTTGAAGGTATAATACAAATGTAACATGATAACTTTGCAGAATAGATAAATAACACTAATGATCCTCCTTTATTGGCTGGTTTCAGCTAATGCAATATGAATGCAAGTACAGGTTCTAGAAAAAAAATATTTTTTTACAACATTGATGCATAAGAACAGAAGTGGAACCAGCTGTAACAGCCCTCCCACTTACTCCTCTCCACTGCTTGGAACAAAGGTGGAATACACAGTTCTGTGCATTGAGAAACAGATATAAAGCCTAACTTTGCATAGAACATCCAATATGCAGGTTTCCCTACTGATCTTTTCAACTCCAGGAAAGAAGCAGCACTCTGTTGTATTTTGGGACTGTCCAGGCTCTCTTAAATGAGAAAACAAACCAAAACAAACAAAAACCAACCAACAAAAAACCCCCCAAAACCAAAACAAGAAACAACTCTATATTCATTATGAAAGCAATTAAAGCATAATACTCATTAAAGAATCAAATTTCAGTCTAATTTACTTTATCATGATGAAGCTAATAAAGTAGATTAAAGCTTGATTGTAGAACTATAAAATATACAAAGAAGATAGCTGGAAAAATATTTAATATCCTTCAGGTCTGGAAAAACACATCTGTTTTACTCTCCTCAGTAAAAAACTATTTTCTAATTTTTTCTGTGTGCAAAATAATGACACCATAAAAAGTATTTTTTAATGGTACCAAATAGTATTCTATAACTGCTTTTAACGGACGTGTAAATTTAAAGTAGTTTTCATGTATTATGCTGTCTTTGCAGAGTTTAAAACTGGTAGCATTGTTTACTTCCTCCTTTTAAAAGTAAATATTATTTTCGTTCCAATGAATCCTATTGATTGGAAGGTCTTTAAAGAATGAAAAAAAAACAAATATAACAGATTTTCATCCATTCAAGATACAGTCATCATTATCAACAGACCAATGTTGAATTAAAAAATAAAATTACATACATCTTGTTAAGAATGTCAAGAAATGAGGTTGCTTAATGCTTCAAGGGCACTTCAAAATACATTAATCATTATTGCATTACAGTAGTATCCAAAACCATTATACATGCAATAATATGCTTGTTGTGATAATTGGCAAACGCTGTGTTTTTACACCATAAAGAGGAGAAGGAAAGTTCCTGAAGGAAAAAGTCTGGTGTGGTTTGGAAGAGGATATCATTATTCTAAGAGGAAAAAACATACATCTGGATGGGAAGAAAACCCTCTGAGCACATCCAAGGAGTATTTTAGGATGTACTTTCTCTGTAATATCAGTCAGGCATAGAAGACCGCCTTGCCTCTAGGGACACTTCTGTCCCACAGATATCTCTGTGAGGACAGTGCAACAAAATTGTCAATCACCAGGGGAAAGATAATTATGCAAGAGAAAGCTTCACCTTCTCCTGGTTCCTGGTGAACAATTTAGCCACTGATGGGGAAGCACCTTTGGCCAAAGTTATCCAAACATCCCTGTATTGTTAGCAGCACTGGTAACATACCTTCTTGTATGCTGTTCTGGAGGTGGTTGACAATTGCTCCCAGGATAGTGGACAGACTCATCACCTGTGCACACTGTGCCAGCCCTAAGGTAAACAGTTCATTCCAGCAGGCACGCACAAGGCTCGTATTACAGTCCTGCCTGTAAACAGCAGAAAATCAAACAACACTAGGTAGTTTGCATATCAGCTTGGTATTGCCCTATGTATAATTATGTTATGTATAACAATTCATAATAAGGATTAATCTGTTGCAAAACTTTTTGGTAACAGGCATATATTAGCATATTACAAGTATTTCAAGAAGCAAAAAGAAATTATAGACTATGAAACCATTTTGGGTTATCTGTGAAATGGTGCTCATCAGTTCTTTACTAAGGTATCAAGCAAGCATTTCATTTCTACAAATTAATGCTTGCTTTTGATTTGGCTTTAGTTTATGTAACCACAGTAACATCAGATCTTGTAGTTACCCTCCCTTCTGCCATCTTCTATTTTATTCTTCAAAACAGGGAATATTGCATAGTCTTCACACATTTTAAAATATTAATTAAAAATGAAAAAATATTGTAACTAAAAAGTTCAAAATATCTGGAAGCATTCAGATGAGCGCTTAAATTCATTCAAAAGCAAACCATTCAAACGGAGTATGTCCATTTACCCAAGAGCTTGAAACGCAGGTATGGACCTAGCCCAGTGCATAGAGAGGAAAAGGAGTCGTGATGCTGACTCACAGATGTAGTGTACATTAAGGTACTCTGGCATCGGACTGGGCATTGTCAGCTGCAAAAAATAAAAGTACAGTACAACACATATAGTTCAGACACAAACTAGTTTTTATCATTGGTGAAATAACCAGCAAAAACATTCAAAGTACTCTCATAGTCCAACACAATCAACAGTGCGACAAGAAGTTGTCAAAGGAAAATTGTATTAAATAACTCATTACTACTGGCAAGGAATGCAAATTAGGAATATGAGACAAGAAATTATGTAGGAGCTCATACATCTTAAGCATTAGTTTGTTTAGTCAGACATTTAAAGAAGCACCTACCTTAAATGTGACATGTGTATCTGTAAGTAGGGGTCCTTCCACTTCAATAATTGGTGTTGACTGATCTCTACTGATTACATGAATATTCCCTCCTCCTGTAGGATCCATCCCATCTGCCAAGTTATGAGCTGTTGTACCATCTGTGGTATTAAGTGCTTTAGCCAAAGTATCAAATGCCCTAAAATATAAGTAAACAATGAAAGAGTGCTTCCTTAGATCTTAAAAATTTCACAGTGCTCAAATTAAATGCTATAAAATATTTCCACTTTGAGGCAACATACACAAGAACTCTTTAGGATGACAGAAGGTCAGACGTTTCATTACAATTTGGTCCCTCTGTACTCTTTGGGCATTAATAAGACAAACAGATGTGGCCACATACTGCTGGTAAAAGATCTCCTCTGTAAGGGAAGGATTTCATACTGTAAATCCTGCTCTGACAGTTTTATCCTAGTTTTGTACTAGTAAAGGGGCCTTGTGCTGTACTGGTTGTGGCTGGGATAGACTTAATTTTCTTCACTGTAGCTAGTATGGGGCTATATTTTGGATTTGTATTGAAAACAATGTTGATAATACAGAGATGTTTTTGTTATGCATAGCAATGCTTGTGCTGTGTAAAGGCACACAGCTGGGTGTGCATAAGAAGTTTGGATCTGACACATCCAGGACAGCTGACCCCAGCTGATACAAGGATTATTCCATACTTTGTGATGTCACACTTATAAAAAGAAGGGAGGAGAAAGAGGAAGTGGGGGGATCTGAAGTGGTAGTATTTGTCTTTGGAAGTAACTGTTGAACGTGCCGGAGCCCTGCTGTCCTGGAGGTTGCTGAATCCCTGACTGCCCATGGAAGGTAGTGAATTAATTTCTTTACATTGCTTGTGTGTGTGGCTGTCGCTTCACCTATTAAACTGCTTTTATCTCAACCCACAAGTTTTCTCACTTTTGCCCTTCTGATTCTATCACCAGTCCCACTGGACTGAGGGAGCAGCTGTGTGAGGCTTAGTTGTCTGCTGGGCATAAATCTCAACAGTCCTCTTGCACTTAGCATTTACTATTCCCCCTTTCTCACAGATTCGGTGAGGATTACAGACCAGATGTATTCTGAAGAACAAAGTCCCTCTCCTTGTCCCCATCCTTGATCTCCGGCTTTTTGGAACAATGGAGAACAGTGTGGTTTTCTTCTAGACAATATGCCTGAATTTCCTTTCCCTTAAGATGAAAAATAGGCAGGCATCCTGATCTCCCAGTATGCATAGAGCCTTAAAAGCCTTATGACAGTAACACAAGAGAGACTGGTCCCTGCTCTTCTTTATACTCAAGCTGTTGCTGGATCATTACCCGAAGAAATCACGGTAAATTCTCTTTGGATTAACAGAGCTTAAATGTAAAGAAGAATTTTGTGTTCCAATTTCATACCAGTGGACATTGTTATGGTATTGTGCTTCTTTGCCATTTTTTGTCAAGATGTTTTTTTGGGAGAGGTATTTTAATAATATTTTTTTTTCTGCTTTAAAGAAGGAGTAAGAGGTTGACATAAGCTGACATTGCAGTGTCAAGTATTTTAAAATATTAATTCACTTCACTTGAAGAGTTCAAATGAAAGACTTAGCAGTCTTATTTAATAGAAATAAAGGAGCATTTTCCCTCTCTGGGTACAGTATCTTGTTTTTCTCATGTGTGGAACTATCCTTTATACTTCCTTTAAACCCAGTCAGCCCAGATGGACATTAATTAATGTCCTTCTCGCTCTCGCTCTTTCTGTCTCTCTCCTCAGAGAGGTGTTTTCCAGTCAGTGTAGTGGGCAGACTGGTCTGGTATTTCTTTACTGTCGGGGGCTTTTCTGTGTAAATCATTTTTCTTATACCTTTTGTTATTAATGTTGTGGCTATTACTGTTTCATTTTGCTGTTACTGTTTGTTTGCTAGTCTCATTGCTGTTCCCAGTAAACTGTTCCTATTTCAACCTGTGATCTCTGCCTTTTGTGCCTCTGACTGGAGACGGAGGGGGAGCAAGTAGCAGCATAGTTTAAGTATGAACATTAAATTGGAGAATACCATTCTTAAACCACGACAGTTAAGCTCCTCCTAAAAATCTTCTTTTTGAGAAACAGTGGACAATTTTGAGTCCAAGTATGTTGTCTTATTAACCTATACTGCTAAATTCAACCAATCTGCTTCCCCACACAAAAAACGCAACCAAAAACATCCAACAAAAAAATCCCAGCCTTGCAAATCTCAAGCTGTGCTGGAAATTTTAATATTCCATGCTCCTTTTTCATATATTTTTCATTAAGAAAAGAAAGACTTCAAACTCTTTCTAAATGTACATTACCAGGAGATTTTATGGCAGCACAATCTCAAAAATAAATCTGCTGTAATACAGACTCTTAAAGAGCAGGGCTTAGGGCACAAGCATTGCACAGGAGAAGCTTACATAAAATACATCTGTGAAATAAAATGGCACTGAAATGTTGCTATTCTCAGAGTCTTTCAAGGTCACAAACTAGTAATTGTTAATTTTTCTGAGAACCAAATCTGGTCTAGCTTTAGAACACTACACTTGTTACACAGGACACAGTTCTTCACAAGAGGGCAAGAGCCAAAACTGATTTCTAAAGAGCTGGTATTTTGTTTCAAAGTAGGGGCAGTCTGGCAATCTATACTGTGTCTCATGCAACAATGGCAAATTAATTTAATGAATGAGTACAAGGATACACCACGTAGAACACAAATTACTAAATAAGGTGTAAATATAAAGGCATACCGTGTAATCTCACTTGCAGATTGCTCTTCTTGTTGAACTTCAGAAGTATCTCCATTATTTAGTGACTCACTGAGATTAGCAAGAGATGTTACAACATTTGCTAGTGTTCCTAAGGCACCCTGGCTTGTTTCAGCCTAAAAAGGAAGCACTGTATTAGTAAATCAAAATTATAGTTAATATGTATAATTTCCCCCTCATTTTCAATCTTTTTGTTCCTTTTCCCCTATGCACCTTTTCCTTCTTCCTGAATGCCAGGAAGAACAATGGTTCACAATTATCTTTAAATAGGATTTAAAGATAATTATCAATCCTAGTCACAGATGAGACATCATATTGAGAACTAACTGTAGGTGACCTTTTGCAGAAATATGCTTGCCAAAAGAAACCACAATCCTATTGATCAATTGATTATATCCATTCATACAGTTCTTCACACTTATCACAACCTTATCTTTTCAAGAGCAACAACTATTTGAGACTATGTGCAACAACTGTTTGAGACTAATAGATAAAGTACTCTGAACAAATTAATAGATATCTCAGAACTGAAGAGAGACAGTAATACCTTGGAATCAGCAGCTAGGAGGACTGTACCATCATCCCTGATCAAAGGTTGCTGAATATTCACGAGCATTCCTGGATCAAGAAGACTGGCTGACCTGTTCAAAAGCGTAAGGCATCTGATGATCAATAGTATTTTCCATTAATCAGAAGCATGTGTAACAACTCATGAGATCATAAAAGGAATTACCAGTTTTTAAATAAACAATTTAGTGAAGCTTACAGTTTATTTAACAGGACTTAAGTCTTTCTGAAACAGTTCCCAAAAAGTAGCTTGAAAGACAGAAAGACTGAAAGATCTTATAATTTCCAGTACAAAACCAACAACAAGAACTTCCCAAATGCTTATCTTCTCATTTGCTTTTTGTTCTGGTTTGGTCTGCTTTAAGGAAAGATGTTGTCGTCTCATGCTCTCAGAAGTCACCTGGTAGCTTTAGTTTTATATTAGACTTAGGAGGAAGGCATAACTCTGTATTCCAAACAAGACACTGGCCAGCACTAAATAAAAGTCATAGAAATATTTTTTATATTCCAAAATATAGTCAGAAACAGTCACGTAATCAAAGCCTGCATAAAATCTCTGCTGCCTTTACTTCCGCTGTTTTTTGATCAAATATCCTCCCCCTCTCCTGTATCTAATTTAGGGAGACAGTGGAAAGTCTTTACAGTCAGCAAGAAGTTTACTTATGTGATGCTCCAAGTGTCTGTAACATGACAGCAATGCACACAACACAGGTGCAAGGCTGCAGGACATTACAGTACAAGGGGTCCTACACTAACAGCTATCACTGTGAACAAGCACAGGCAGCAAATTATCGTGCATTATGCAAGTCTACATCCTACATAAATAACAGAGTGGTTCTTAATGACTATAGTAGTGTTTATAGGTCTGTAATGGATCTGTAGCTCAAGGAAATTTTTAAGAAGCAAATGTCTCTTTGAGTACTTCTTTCAAACAAGAACACTGAAAAACAATTCTCCAAGAAACCTGCAGCCCAGACTTCCTAACTGCAGTGTCATTTGTTCAACAAGGAATATGTATATGAAAAATTAAACACACACACTTCTTCCCTTATGAAAATTGAATAAAAATATCCAATTTTTTACGTAGTTCTCAACCATTCATAAACTACAGTTTTAAAAATGTCATATATAACCTAGACTTTTTTTATTCTATTCAGAAAAAAAAAAAAGAAATCTTGTCTTTGTTTGTAATGATGTACATTTTCACACCCATTGCCTAAGGAGACACCTGAGAGTGCAGGAATTGCTGCAGCAGCAAGGTACAGGAACCACTTTGGAGTATCTTCCATATAGTAAAAGGAAGCTGCTGTTTTGCTGTTGTTGAAACCAGTATTTGGGATGCGAATCAGCAGTCACTGAGTCTCCCTAACTAGTGTCTTTAGGAGAACGAAGGCTGAGTCTGCCATTTGCAGATCTGATTTCAGAGAAATGCTAACTCAAATGTATCACAGCATTAGCCTACATGCTTTCTGCTTGAATATCATTCAGTTGCTCTGCATTGCTCTGACCTGGCTGGACAAGAGCCAGCTCTGAACTGAAAACCACATACCTGTATGCAGACATGAAAACTTTCATGAGAAGCAGAACCTACATTGGCCTTGGTAATGGAAACAGATGATGTGTGCATTAAAGTTCTTTTCTGTTCCCTCTAAGAGCAGAGGGGAGAAAGAATATAGGTGTGACTGCAAAGTAATATGCACAAATGACGTGAAAGAAGATACGTGGAACTGAGGTACTCACCGTGTCCCATCTTTATCTGCCACAAATGTTGGAGTTGCTATTAGAGGGCTTCGAAGATCTTTTCTTATATAGATTTTTTCAGTAGAAGCTGCACAGTTGGTTGGTTTTTCACGTTGCACATCAAAAGGCTTTCTTTCACTTTGAACCGCTACATAAAGATAGAAACATACAGATTTGAAAGGAAATATTTCAAACGAAAAATGCAAAAAGTAAGTAAAATTCCTGCAGTTATGATAGTGTACCAGCTCAGTTAAAAACTGGAAATTTAATACCAAGAGGGAAGAAACGCAGGCTCCAATTTTACTATATTTGTGAGTATGTGTATTTTTACATATGCTTTTACCTAAGAAAGTCAGAGATTGATCTTTTGCTTCAAGTTTTGCTGATCTGGAATGAAATATTGCTCTTTTTTTTGGCATTTGATAAGATGGAAGATTCTACAGATTGTGTTTTCAATTTGTATTTTTTTTTACAGGCACGAGCTATATCTAAATGTTAGGCAGATTTCTATTCTGGATGACACAAAACAATGCAAACCCTGAAAAAGTCAAGAGATGCAAGTTACATGAGAGATGCAGGTAAATTGCTTGAGAAGATACTTTCTGCATAAAATGCACTTCACTCACAGCCATTATTTCCTCCCAGTTAGGGAAGAGTGTTCCAAAACTAACCCTTTCATAATCTACATTTATACTTGAGAACTGGAACAAACTAAGTGCAGTCACTGAAGTGCCGAACAAGTGTAGGAAGTTTTTTAATGAAAAACAAAAAAAAAAGCAAGAAGCAATTTGTAACTTTTAAAGAAAGTGAAAAGTACATCTTTATAATATTAAAATATTATTATTAAACATATTACAGATAATTATCCTCACAACCAGCAAGAGTTACTTAGTTCCTGGTTTTATTTTTACTATTGCTGTTACTATTAGCAAAATTTAGGGGCTTCCGAGTTGGCATATCAAATTTACTGGCTTGGTGAATACATATAAATTAATCAGAGGCCTGACTCAAAGCCAGTGAAGTCAATAAGCATATACCCAAATCATATTGGAATAAGAAAGGTTTGCTATCTGGAACTGCAGCAGGTTTTTCTTGCACAAACATCTCATCTTATATTCAGCACATTGTGCATAAAGCAGCAGAATCGTCACAACAGGTCTGGAGTTTCAGAGTGCAAATACAACAATTATGTTCCTATTTACAGCCTAAAGTTTTGCTTCCCTTGAACTCAGTGGCTGGAACTAACCCTGCTTATATCGTATCATAAAACAACTTTGTAATTGTTTCACGTAGTGCTAAATTGAAGAACAACTGAAAACAAAAATATATTGAAACAAGTGTTTGGCTGCTAGCACTGGAAATGTATGAAATACTACATACAAACAGGAAAGCATATTTTAAAACATATGACATTTTGTACAATGCCTCATAAAACACTGCTCACAAATTATCAAATTAACATAAAAATTTAAAAAGAGGGGAAAAAAAAGACTATTTTCTATCACTGGATGAAAAAGCCACAAAAATAAACTGGAAGGAAAGCAGATTCTCAAAACAGAATATTAGATTCAGATTCATGTCAATCCATGTCAAAATATTTTCTGTTATAAACATAGGCTGTGTTTAGCACATGCATTCTAAGTGCAGCTGTAACTGGGCTCCTTAAAGGCAACAGTTCTTGGAGACGTGGTTCAGAACAAACCACTACTGCACCTCAGACAGAAAATGGTGATGAAAGAAAGGTGCACTAGATGCTGCCAAAGCGTTCCGTTTCCTTCCAGCAACATACACCAAAACAGAAAGAACACTAACAAATTGTAGTCCACATAATTGTTATTTGGTAGGAACAATATCACACTGAGTACTTAACACTCACATTCCATTTTCATGCCCATCTCTAGACATTTCTTAAGCCTACAAAACTGGCATCGATTCCGATGGTGTTTATTGATGATACAGTCCTGGTTGCTACGACAACTGTAGGTCAAATTCTTCCTTACACTCCTTTTAAAGAAACCTTTGCATCCCTCACAACTGACAGCACCATAGTGACGACCTAGGAAACATATATATTATCAGTTGAAAATTACTTATAATTTAGCATAGAAATATTAATTTTAACCAAGTAAAACACTGTAAGTCATCCTTTAAATTTGTTTTGGATTTATGCCAGCATTTTAGACCATGAAGGCATTACTACAGTCTCACAAGATATTTCTGGTTTACCTAATGTTGGGGGTTTTGGTGAGAGAGTGGAGAGAAGAGAGGAAGGCTCAGGCTATTTCTGAAGGTGTGGGTGATGAAGGTGTAGCTCCCAGGCTGTTTAAGTACAGATACAATTCTATCTGCTGTTACAGACTATAGCATACGTTTAGAGACTATATCAGCTAAGAGCTCAAGTAATTTCAGAAAACAAGTAATTTTACACCAAAATTTAAAATGCAATCTTAATTTAAATTTCCTGTCCATATTAATTCTGGTATTGTCTTAATTTCATAAACACTTAAAAGAAGAAAAAGAAAGTGAGAAAAAGAGACAGAAGGGTGTCTTCTCTCTAGGATGAAAGCACGGAACACCCCCTTGACAAAGAAAAAAAATTTATCTTAAGATTCCTTGTTACTGCATGTTACTGAAGCACTGAGGTTTCACATAATCTCTGCTTGCCTTGTTTTGTGATAGAAGAAGAAAAAAACCTACCAGAAAGTGTTAAGTTTGTTAGAGAGCACTAAGAAGTATTTTCTTGGAGCAGTTACACATTTTTAGGTGACATGTTTATTTCATGGTAGCACATCACTGTGGGGAACTTGACTACATGCTTCAAGCAGTCTTTTTCAAATACCAGGAGCAATTTAATGATTATTTTATCTTTAAGCCAATTTATCGTATGCTTCAGTTCAAGGAGAAAACCTAATGTTCTTCCAGGCAGAGTTTAGCTATTTTTGTGTATAGATACAGAGTATATTTTTCCATTTAAAAACTCAGTTGCTTTTGCCATGAGCATAACTTAAATCAGTTTAAGCACATGAAGAATCATCTCTTCATCCCAGTCATCCTTTCAAGCAAGTTTCTTCAATATCAGTTTGAAGGCTTCCTTACCTGATGCTTTATCACCACAGACTACACAATATTCTACTACCTGGGGCCGCTGAACATCAGTTTTTCCTAGCAGACGTTCCACTGAAGCAGAGTCAGTCACTATCTAAAGCAAAATTCCAGAACAAAAAGATGTAATTAGCCAGATATAAAGGTAAGGAGTCTTGCCTATAGAACAAGATTGGTGTATCAGCTAAGAAGAGGGGACTGAATTTATGAATAAGTACGGCATTTGGAATGAAATTAAGTAGTATAAAATGCAATTTAATGAGAGTTCTTACTGACAACAGAGAGACTTTTGAAACAGTCATATCAAAACAAATTACAAATAAAGCTGCTAGCTTTGTTTATTACAAATGTTTCTTCACTTGTGCAATCAACAGTATTTTTCTCTTGTTGCAAATACTCTCAAGTGGCTGCTATACTTTAGCCAAAGACAGTTGGCTTTCAGATGCTGTTCCCATCTCTCTCTTCTCTAGCTATTAGGGATGTGTGGTTCAGAGAGGATAGCCTGGAGCTCAGGTCTATAACAGTCTAGCTTCCAAAGGCCTTGGATTCCAAAACTTCTGTTCTGAACATTCAATTTAACCAAGAAAAATATAAAAACCCAACCCCTCTGTAATGTCAGATATCCTATTTATCATGGAAAATGAATTTTAGAAGACTTTTAATAACATTTTAAAAATATTTATGTAAAAGTTACTCTTCTTCCTGTAAAATATTCTCTATTGTAACACTAACAAGAGAGACCAGGCACATTCTCATTTGTTTTATTCTTTTTTTTAAGACTGCTAGGAAGAAATCTGAAATTTCATGAGAGATAGATTATTGTTACATCATTGGCTTGCCAAAGCTTCTGTTCGTGTAGATTATGCTCAAGACCCACAAAAAAACATAAGAGCTTTATTGCAATGTCTTGATACTGAATGTGAAGTATGAACTCATGTAAATTTGCTCAGGTGAGTTGTATCTCTGTATATGAGTGAATCTTAGACTAAGAAATCCTGGCACTTCTCACAAGCACTATCTTAAGGATTCCCGTATGTCTATGGAACCTGAATGAGAACACATGATGAGGGATGATAAATGCAATGGAATACATGAGGTAGGTGAAGACTGAAGGATTTGTGACTGAACAATGAAGCCTAAAATCAGTATGTCTGATCCATGTCATGAGAAAACTACTGCAATTTAGACTTAATTTAGAAACAAAAGAAACAAACAAAAAAACAACACCCCCCCCCCACACAAAAATATTACATGGTTTATCTAAATTACTGTATTTACCTGAATTCTGCCTGGCACAATGTTGTCTGTGGTGGTAAAGATAAGCTGCTTGGCATTAGATGTCTCAGGTGCTGCCAGGATCACCTTTCCTGCACCAGTTCCATCTGGACTAGCTAAAATGAACTGTTGCTTTGGAGACACAGCTGAATCCACTGCTGTCACTATTTGAATTTTCTGACCTGTTTGCTGATCTGTCACAATCTGTAAAACATTGAAGAAATTAGTGACCACAGTAAATTTTGTTTTAAAACCTTTCATTACATCTCAGAATTATATCAGTGGAAAATTATAAAGAAGCTCTCTCAAAGTTTTCTTCATAAATATCACTAGGGAGATGTTCCCCAGTTAACATTTACCAATATATTTTACATCAGATGTTACTCCCTAAAGTTATCATCAAAAGATGGAATCAGGCAGCTTTATTGTTTCACATGCCAATTTTCAAGATTCTGTTATGATGGAACGTTTCTATTTCTGATACACTTGTCTGGTAGCATGATCTCTATTTTGCCTGGTAGAGTAACCGTATCAATATGCACTAGAATTTCATTAAAATTTACTAAGTCCTATGTAATTTGTCATTGAATACCTTCTGATACATTAATGACATCTTTTTATTATCTCCCAGTAACAAAGTTCCACCGTGCAGCATTCCCAAAGGCCAACTTCATGCTAAATAGATCAATCTCCTACTGGCTCCTAAGTAAGTGGAAGAGGAATCCACTTGGAGACAATCTCAGATATCTGTTGACAATATCTCACCCTTTGGTGTGGCCAGGGCTCTGGAGATTTGCTTGTGCAGGCAACGTTTAACCTGTGTTAATACTCTTCACTGCCTATTATATACCGCCATCTAGTCAGCACCAATACTGAGGGAAAAAGAATTTTAATTTTCACTAAAAATTACCTAATCTCACAAGACTTGAAGGAAGTATTCCATAGTCTTTAGCATGCTTTTGTATAAAGCTAAGTAGGAGGAGAAGAAAAATAGAAAATTTATGAGAGTTGGTTAATTATTGGATTTTTACCTGAATGCGTTGTGGTGAAGCTACAGAGGAGTCTGTGGAAATTATCTGGATACGCTGAGAAGGGCTGGTCATCACTGGAGATTCAGATAACGAAGTCTGAACAGTCGGCACCTGTAAATAACATACAGAAATTTAATTCAGTGTTAAGGTATTGAACACTTTTTAAAATACCTATATTTATAAAAGATCAGATAGCCCTATAGTTTAGAATCTAAATTTACTGGAAAGGTTACAGTCATTTAACCAACTTGGATTGGCTTTCAATGAATTATCAGAATATTTTTCTTTTTCTGAAAATGGAGTGAACCTGACAAAACCAAACCACCACTACCACCACACACTGCTCAAGTGAATCACTAGGTAAGTACTGTACGATTCTTTAGCTTACTGAAATGCAGAAATACTTTTTTGAACTTTCAAGTATACACTTGTCTCATTTTTTTCTTCTGTAAGTAAAATGTTAAGTAGTTCCCCTTTTAATAATTTCAAAGTACTTTTGAATGACAGAGATTAATTTTCACACTGCTTCTGAATACTATTGTTTTTTGTCCTATTCCATACCTTTCTAGACACCAAACTATAATGCAAATTTAGTTCTGAATGCTTAGTGCGAAAAACATCCCTTGCAAAGCCGTTTTCAGAGCAAAAATGTTAAATGTTGAATTAAACATAGATGACAACATTTAGATTGGATATTGGGAAGAACTTCTTCCCTGGGAGGGTGGTGAGGCCCTGGTAGAGGGTGCCTAGAGTGGCTGCCCCTGGATCCCTGGAAGTGTCCAAGGCTATACTGGACAGGGCTTGGAGAAATCTGGGATAGTGGAAGGTGTCGCATCCAACCCAAACCATTCTGTCAACCTGGTATCTGCATTAACATGTCCAATACTAGGATGGTCACAAGTTGTTTTTATCAAATCCTAAACAATCTTGGAGTTATATCAAAATTTTTACAGCTGGACAACAGGACAGTTTCAATTTTAGCTTGCTTTGAAAAATCTTTGTTTAATATACAGAAAAGTTAATTTATGACATAAAGAAAAACCAGTTTGGATAGCAAGGAACATGAACTGCAGTCCCTTTGGGGAAGCAGAGGTATTAAAATACACAAGACTTAATGAAATCATACTATTCACTCCCCTATTGCCTACACCATAAGTAGTTCCGCATACTATAAAAGTGTAATCTAAATTAAACATACAATCTTTAATACAGGTCACAAAAATTGCACACTAAATGAGGAAAACAGACAGGAGAGATGTAGAAATAAGAGGTGTGTGCTAATTATTGCATGATCCAAAGTTTTCAGCAGCAGAAAACAAGATACCTATGTGAGAAAAAAAGACTCTCAAAAATCCAGACTCTTAAAGGACACATTTAATTGATGATCTTGTCTTCCATGCCGAATTATTAACAAGGCTGTGTGCCCTTTAAAAGATCTAAATTAGAGCAAGAGGGTCTTTTAAAACTGTTTTACAATTGTTCAGCTGTAGAATCCTTAGCCTTTCATTGATCCATCTTCAGACCTTACACCACAATGTACTGCAGACAGCCTAGAGAAAAAGAATAGTCTACTCTTCTGTATTGTTCAAGGAGAAAGATAGACAAGACAGACATAAGGTACCTGCATGGAAATTCTTTAAACATTTTGGAATTGAACAGCCACGTTGTTTTCTGGGTTTACAATGTATGTTTAACCTGAACCCCATGTGGCACAACTTGAAGCGATTTCTTTTTGTCCCCCACCTGACCCCACCCTCCTGTCAGGGAGTTGTCGAGATTGAAAAGGTCCCCCCTGAGCCTTCTTTTCTCCAGGCCTAACAAACCCAGCTACCTCAGCCACTCCTCAGTGACTGACTCTCCAGACCCTTTTCCAGCTCCTTTGCTCTTTTCTGGACACACTTCAGCCCCTCAACGTCTTTCTTGCGCAGCAGGGCCCAGAACTGACCCCAGGATTTGAGATGTGGCATCACCAGTGGCCAGTACTGAGCAACAGCCACTACCCTGGTCCTGCAGGCCATGCTGCTCTTGATCCAAGGCAGGATGCCACTGGTCTTCTTGCGTGACCTGGGCACACCCACCTCACATTCAGCCACTGTCGACCAGCACCTGCAGGTACTTTCCTGTTGAGTGGCTTTCCAGCCACCCTGCCCAAAGCCTGGAGTGCTGTGTGGGGTTGTGGTGACCCAACAGCAGGACCCATGGCCTTGTTGAACCTCACACTGTTGGCCTTGGCCTCAGTCCCCTCATCCAGGTCATCCATAAAAATATTAAAGAGAACTGGGCCCAAAACAGCCCTAAGGAACCCCACTGGTGACTGAAGAATGGATGTGGCACCACTCCCCACCACTCTCAGGCCCCAGTCACCCAGCCATTCTTAACCCCATGACGATGCACCTGTCCAAGTCCTGGGCCACAGCCTCCCTTGGACAGTGTTGTGAGACAGTATCAGAGGCTTTGCTGAAGTACAGGTAGGCACAATCACACCCTTTACTTCATCCACGAGGTGGGTCACCTCATCATAAAACAAGATCAGGCTGGTCAGGCAGGACCTGCCTTTCCTAAATGCACGCTAGCTGGGCCTGATCCCCAGGTCTTGTGAGTCCCATGTGATCTCACTTGGAAAAATAATTTAAAATTAGCAAAATTGAAAGGAAAATCCATCAGATTTCCCATAGAGCATCTTTAGCTCTAAAAATTCATTCCACAACAAAACATTTTTATGAGGCTGCAGTGAAAGCTGAGAAATGGATGAAAACAAAAAATATTTTTAAGATTTTCAAAAGTTAAATTTGTTAAAGTTATGGTACATGAAATTTTGAGAAAGTGACCATCTACTTGACAAGTTGTACAACAATAAACTTATTAACAACAATAAACAACAAAATCCAGTGGACTTCCACTAGAAAAGTTTCTGCAGCAAATAAATAATTTACTTGTCTAAGTAGCATTAGTATTTTCTTCTAATTTCAAGGATTCCACAGCACAGAAATATGCTCACTATTGAAATGAAGCACTTTACTTGACAGAAAACACAATCATCTATTGTACATCTCTCTAAAAATAGTATCCATACATAATTACCTACGGGAGTGTATTTACAGCAGGGGTACACCGTAAATGTTAGGTCAACTAACTGTGATCTAGTGTAGAAGAAAGTATTATTTGTGTCTAGAATATAACTGCTATTGCTCTCAAACCAGTAAGTACCACTAGCAATAATTTCATATGCTGAAGTTTATAGAAATTAATAATGATTTGCCTTAAGTGACACAGAAAATCTGTACAGAGCTCAAGAAATACAAAGACACACTTAAACACATATGCACCTACCTTTTTCATCATTAAACTAAAAACAAGTATTTGGCAATTAGGTGCATTTTGAAGGCTGGCAAAATCAAATTTGGTTTCTTCTGTTTAAATTACTAATATTTTTTCTCTTTTTAAACATAAATATATATAATTGTATATTTACCTTATATTTTCTACTTTTTCAGTTTCTAAATTTTAGTTGAAATCATATTAAACTTCCAGTAGATGGGTGTATATACATAAAATATATGTGTATATATAAAATCAGTAGTTTGAAGTTAAGTTTCTCCAAGCATTTCATTATTTTATGTCATTAGAAATAAATAAGGTTTCTTCATAGGCATATAGTTGTGTTTATACAGTAATTGACTGATTTACCCATCATGTACATATGCATCTATGTGTGTTTGTACGAGCATATGTACATATATAATAAATATTTGTCCTGACTAACCAAATTTTCCGTACTTTCTGTAGCTTATTTCCCCCTCCGACACTGATTATAAAAACAACATTTGAGAAATAAATTGAAGGAATAATCCATTGGCCACATAGGTAGAAATTTTTAAAGCCTCTAATCTTTTCTAACTTAAGCAGAAAAACATTTTCTACACGCACTCCAGTAAAGGCCAAAGTAATTGTATTGGTTGAATACATTATGTGTAAACCAATTTCAGGCTGAATAATTTCTATTCTCTTTCCTATATTAATTAAAGCATAATTTAGCAATCACAGACCAAATATTTTTAACTGCACCCATAAAACAACTAAAGAATTTAAATGAAAGATATGGTACCAAGTTTTACACCTGCAACTCAAATCAAATCACAAAGATTTATTTTTCCATAGATATTTTTCCTAATGAGTAGCTTTAGCTATTAAATTAATAATAGGCTTTTACCAAAAATGTATATCCAAATATATTTATTTGACAGTTGTAAGACACATCTAAAAAGGAGTTTCAGAGGAGAAACTGCTGAAATTCCCTCCAAATCCCCTAGCTGCTCTCTGTTCTTCAGTTTCATGAACTGTAAGTAATGGCAACTTCAAACACTAAAAATGGAACTCTCATCCAGTCTGTTCAGAAATGCACAATTGGAAAAAAAATTAAACAAGCGACACTATATAAAGCACTAGGAAGCAAAAGCCGTGAAATCATTTGAAACCATTACAAGAACAATTTTTAAAAGTCCTAAAAATAGAATAAGTACAAAAATACATGCAACACTGGAGCACACTCAGCAACTTCTGTGAAACATTCCATTTTATGAAAAAACTGATGAACTATTGCTCAAGAAAGAGAAACAATGTAGCCTACTTGCATGACAGTCTGGTTTGGTGCTTGGCATCACAGCTTTCAATAAACCCATGCCACTGCATATGTGGCAGTTATGTTGAAAAAGTGATGGGGATATAGGTAAAGCTACTAATATTTGCATTAGGTTATTCCAGTTGCGACTTGTCTCTCACAGTTCATAACCTAGAATTCAGTGCATTGTCAATAACCCTCTTCTTCCATTTAATTTTCATTGACAAAAAATATCATATTCCAAAAGTGTCCAAGTTTTTAAAGCCAGTGCCAAGTTTGATTTTCTTTAAAATATGGTGAGTACAAATATAGAATTTTAGCATATTTAAAGAAAACTAGCTATGTATTTACCTGTATTAAAAACTGAGAAGACAAATAGCAGGCAGTCAGCCATTCATAAAGAAATTATTCAATATTAACATGGTCATAGTATTAATGAATTCCTAATGAGATAATGCTGCTTACAACTGGTTTTCCATGAACAGTTTTCATGGTGTTACGCAGTGGACAGGCATATTATTTAAGCAGCAGCTGAATACTACAAAGAGATGGAACCCTCTATTTACCCACCGGCCACGAAGAAATCACAGAGCTTCTTACACTCTTGAGATGGAGCGATCTCTCCAGTGGCAAGATACAACCATCACACTATGTTACCACGGTGCATTTCCTGCACGAGGAATTACAGATGTCACATATTTTATGTGCTTTAGATGTTATACCAATATAGTATAAAGTTTTCCATTACAGGTTTCTCTTTCCAAATATATTTGGAAGTGTTTTTAAAAAAATGCAGCTTGCCAAATTCATACCTGGTACAGAAAACTAGAGTGAAAAATCTCTTGCTGGTTTTCACTGTGAAACTTAAGAAGTTTTTTGAAACTATTCCAAGATGTTAATTTCAGGACACTCACTAGGCCATTTTGTTAAAAAGAATGAAATTTCTTTTTTAAAAATGTACTTCTAAGTACGGAATCTCAAATCAACTTCTAAAACCAAAATTAAACTTATATTTTCTTCTTTATAGGATTTCTTGAAATAAAAATATTTTTAATATACATGTGTAATCTTAGATCATTAGGTGAAAGAAAACTCCACACTAATGTCTGAAAAGTGGCCTTATCTCTCAGCCCATTTGCCCTTTATTGTTTATTAAATCCCTTAATTATGTAACTATATGAAAAATCACAGTTAAGTTCAAGGATGCTAAACCAAATAATTTTTATCAGACAAAAGATCTTGCTTATTTTTTGACTGAAGTTTGCATAGTGAGGGAGATAAATTATTTTCTATGGCCATGAAGACTTGCAGTTTGTGTTTATGAGCTGATTTAAACTTTTTAGCTGTTGAGCATCCAAGCTTCAGAATATGTATCTAGACATCACTTAGTCAATATCACTTTAAGAAGGTTTTGTGCTTTTTTTCTTTAAAGTGTGGGCACAATATATAAAAACTGATTTAAGTTAACCACTTTGCTGTAAATTCAGAATGGCGCATAAGTAAAACAGGTAACTTCGAACACTGTGGTGGATCTAGATTACAATTCCAATTAGGTGCAGAAGCTTTCCATGTCCCAAAAGGTCAATGTAATGATCAAATGACAAGAAATTTTGTTATATTAATTTTTTAAACAATTCATAATACAGACAAGTTTCTCTATAGCTCATGTTGAAGTTTCTACTTACAGTCTTAATATGGGGGCCACAGAACAAAGTAGGGTGAACAAAACATGTTCCAGTTGGACTGTTTTCATGCTTGTCCCCAAGTGTAAAGCAGCACTTTTCTTTAAAGATCTTCTGTTCTGTTTATGCTTAATTGTAAACAGCAGGGACTCCCTAATAAGTTTTTAATTTCAAAATCTCATATACCAACTGTTGTGATATCATCTGTCACTCACCTCAGCCACCTGCTGAGTCTCCACTACCTGCTGAGCCAGCACCTCCATATTGGTTGCCATGGTGAAACAAGACCATTAGAGAACCTGTTTGGAAAGATGCCAGCAACCTCCATCAGGCACAAAAGTTTGGGTCTTTTCTTACTATTAAAGCTCGCTCTGCTATGACTTTTTGAAAATTTACAACTCTGCTTGAAATATCTGGCAAATAAGAGAAGGTGCCATTGACGTGTGTGTGTGCGCATACATACATACACATAAACATATATGGGACATGCATACTATTCAAACTGCTGAAGTACAGTTATTCTTTTACTTAATTAAGCCTCTAATATGCTCTTTCCAGTCCACTATTTAAGCTGTAAAGAAGAGATGTTAATTTCATAAATGAGAAAGGACTAATTTCAAAGTCAAGTTCTAATGCAGCTTGCAGAATTCATAGATCTCAAAGGCACTTTCCTCAGCTCAGGCAGGAGAAACCTTGCCATTAAACTGCTTCTACCCCGCATGCTGAACCAGGGAGCAGCAAACTAAGAATGCTGCTTGGCATTTAATTGAGTCATTCCATCAAACCACCACGTTCATCCATATTCTTAAGAGTAATCTTACACAATAAGGGAAATAAAAGTTTCATCTAAAATGTATCTTCCATTATTTAGGCTATTTCTTTATTATAAAGTGATGCTGCAGAGTCATTTCATCCTATTCCAAGTAACTCCACCTTCAACTTCAGGGTTTAGAAAAAAAAATACAAAGAAATCAAAGACAAAGAAACAATAAAAAACCACTTTCAATATATTTTTAATTATCATTATTATGGATGTATTTCTTCCAATGTAAATTTAATTAAGATTTATAATTAATACATTCAGTTTTTAATTGTGACTTGCTAATTATAGGGCTAGACTTCAGATTCTGATTCAGGCGTAGGTAATAAAAAGGCATTTCTGGATGCTGGCTTGTTTGATGTTTCATTGGAAACTTCTGTTTAAAATTGCAAAGCAGTCATTTAATATAAAATTTAAAAATACAGCACACAATAGCAACACAGGTAGCAGAAAAACGTATGCATGTTTCTCTAGCATCCATTCAAATGTAACTGCTACAAAGCTAACATTGTTAAATATGCCAGAATTCATTAAATTAAATGAATTCACTTATATTGTGACAAATGTGAAAGTAATTTTGTATATGTCAAGTATAGATTATTTGTAACAATGGATAATCAAACTTGAGACATCCCCATGAAAATTGTATTTATGCTAGGTTCTCCTACAGCTCATCATTATTTTATTGAAGTGTTGACTTGATTAAGACTATGAACCATTTCCACCATACTCAGCTTATGGATGGTTTCTCAGTTGTTCAATGGTTCCTATTCAGTGTTTCCTCTTATTTTTTTTATGTTCAGCAAGAAGCACAAGAAGTATAATCATATGCTTATAAATGTGCTATTTTCTCAGCGCTTTATGATGACAGAAGCCCTTCAGATAGAGATACTTTGTTCATAATAGTAGCTTTCTGAGACACAAAACACAAGTGTTTGCTATAGAATGAGTCTGACAAATTTGCTGTTGTTGGTGCTATCACCAAGGCTTTTTGTACTTTCGACCTTCACAAAAGAACCTTAAGCTGAGGCTATCTGATCAAATCCAGCTGAAGCACAGAGACCATACACAGCCATGCCAAGCTTTTTAATGGTGTCAACTTCCAGAAGGCAAAATCAGCTTCCTGGCAAAAGCCCCGAGCAACGGTTTGTAAGGCAACCACAACAAAACCTCCCAAATCAACACAAGAGGTGAAATTTAAAACCTAGGAAGAGGCACCAGGAAATTATTTTCAGCGTAACAGGGTGGCAGCCAGCTCAGTATACGCTGTCCAAAACACAGTGTAGAATCAGTAATCTTTCCCTAAGCTGCAGTGAAACCTCAGAAGCAAGTCATAAATTCAGCTTGAGAGGTTGTAATGGTATGGCCCTACTGACAAAACATGGCAAAAGGCCGAATTCAAACTTATTGAAATTTTTCCTTTGTCTTAATGAAACGAGGTTCTTTACGCTGTGAGCTCGACTCGGCTACACCGAGCGGCCTGCAGCAGGCTGCCATCGGCAGGACGGGCGGGGAGCCCGGACAGGGCCCAGCCCTATCGGCAGTCTCCGGCACATTGTCCCGGCGGCAGGACCCGACCCACACCCGGACACCGCCGACCGAGCGGAACACCGCGAGCGGCGCCGGCAGCGCGCCGGGCCTGCCGCGTCGCCATTGGCTACGCCGCGCACGCCGCCCGTGCCCATTGGCTGCGCCGCGCCCCGTCCGCTGCTGAAGGGCCTTCGGCAACTCCCCGCCGCGTGACGCCGAGACACGCCCCCGGGCCCGACCAATGACCTCACGACAGACGCAGCGCTCCCCCGCAGATCGCCCATTGGCCGAGCCACCCGCTTGTAATAGTGGCGGTACCGCCCCTCGAGCAGAGGGAAAGCCCCCCGGGGATTCATTGAGCACAAGATGGCGGCGCTGGCCGCCCGCCAGAGCCCAGGCGGGGCTCCTGCCGCCGCCATTAGGCCCCTTCCCCTCCCCTCCGGTACAGCCTTGTGTCCGCCTAGAGGAGGCCCAGGCATGGCAGTGAGGAAGCGGCCGGTAAGATGGCGGCGGTTTCAGCCCCGTATGCAAAGTACCCGCCGCCCCCTCCCCTCCGCCCTCCCGGTGGCAAAGGTAAAAGGGTCGGGTTCAAGCCGCCGCCTCCGCCCGCTCAGACTCCATCTTCTGCCTCTCTGGGTGTCCCGCGCTCATCATCGCCGCGACCATCGCCCTACACCCCTTGGACAGCAGACTTTGCTCACCGCGATCGGACCAGCTCCGACCTCAGCCGGCCCACGCTGCAACCAGCGGCTCCGGCACGGGACTGCCCCGCCGATCAACCCAGCACGCCACAATGGTCGTTTCCTCTCTCTCCAGGAGCTGTAGACCAGGCCAGACCACGGCCGGTGCTCGCTTACCAGACAAATACCGGAGCCGTGCAATCCCCCTCCCCTAAACCCACCGTCACCCCACCCCTCCCCTCGCGGGGGTGTCCAGAGTAGGGCCCTCTGCCGCCTCCCCGCGCCCCCTCCCTCGTCCTGGCCCCCACGAGACAAACCCAGCAGGCCGCTTCAATTTTAAAAAATGTTTTTTACCTCAGGAATGGGCGCCAAAGGTGCAGTGGCGGTGACCCGACCGGGCCCGGGCAGGCCGGTGCCCAGCAGCGGCCCTCCCTCCCCCCGCGGGGGCTGCAAGGGGCTGTGGGGCCCGCGGAGGGGAGGGGGCCGGGACTGTGTTGGGGTCGGGCGTGTTTTGTTGTGTGTGCCGTGCCCTGTGACAGGTCAGAGTTCGTGACCCCACCGCCGCCGCCCGGTAGCGCGTCCCCGCTTCCTCTTCCAGCGCCAGCCCGGCCGCGGCCCCTCCATCCCCCGCGGGGCGGGGCCGGCGGCGGGGAGGGGCTACCGGGCTACCTGGGCCTCCCGAGCCCTGCACCGCTCCGGCCGCGCCGCGGAAGTGCCGGCGGGAACCTGGCCTCCGGGGCAGCGAGGGGAAGGTACGTTCACCGCCTTTGTCCCTCTCACTCGGGAGGCTCTTCAGGAGCCGGGAGCCCGAGGTTGCGGGCTGGCGGTTGCTGTCCAGTGCGCTGATGGTATTGATGTTCCAGGTGTATCTCGGTTCTCGCGGAGGATGCAGTCAAAGGTGGGCTCACAATTGAGCAAACTCTCACAAACGCCGCCGCCAGACTGTTGAGTTTTTATTTAATTTTGTAAAGTCAATGTCATTGATTAGGGCTCTTATGGCAAAGCTGGCTGTGAGTGAGGTATGTTGTGCCTTCACAACATACAACAAATAGGCATGACACAAGTTTGGGTGTAGCTGAGGTGGTTTAAGAGTTTACCACCTTTCAATGCTTGTCTTCTTACACGCTATCGGATGTTCACTCCCTGTCATAACTAGCTATCCTTAACCTACTCATATCAAAATGTTCTTAATGCTTCTAGTAGGTTTCCCTTGACTCTAATAATTTTTACAGAAGCTAATTTAAGGAACAGTTAGATGAATAAGATAACACCTGAAAGAAAACATATGGAAGAGAGAGCAGTTAAATGCAACAATCACAGAAACAAGAGGTGCTATTGACTATTGAGTATGTATGTTTTGTTTTTTTTTTTTTATTTTTCTTTGGAAGGTTGTTTGTAGTTTTTTTTCTTAGAACTGACTCCTTGGGGTAAAGGTGTGATTAATGTACTAGACCTACAAATTACATCCTTACTTTTACAGACCAGAAATTAGTAAAGCATGTGATGTGCAGATATGTTTGCAGTACACAAATAAAGGAAAATGTTTCAAAAATGTCTTGGGTGTTTATTGCTGTAATGTTAAATACATGAAGAAATGTCAAATTCTCAAAATATGGACGTGCGTACCTTTAGAAGCAGATATTTCTTTTAACTTCATAAAATATACATCAAAGTGTGACCAAATGAAAGGAAAAATGGAAAATGCTAAAGCCAAATATGAATGGCTGCTTTCCCCCCTGAGTGTTTCCTAATGGGCAAGTTGAGGAAAGGTTTAGAAGGCAGGAGGATTTGTCTCCTCCATCTTCCTTGTTTCTGCCAGGAGAAAGCTTTGCAGCAGTTTTACTCTGAGCTCTGGTGGAGAGCAATCATGCTTGCTGTACGGCTCCACCACTCAAACTAAGGTTAAGGAAAGCTGCATTAACATTGTGACAAATTTCACTGTGGTTTTTGCAACAATTTCAACGAAGTGTAGAACAACAGTGTATGCCCTTGTTTAATAAGCAAGATTGTATTAGATAATGCTGAAATTTGCTAAATTTATATGCACAGAAATATAAAGGAGTGTTAGTGAAAACTGCTTTTTGGCCTTAGCTATGACTGGACGAAATTAATAGAAGATGCCAGAGGTGGAAAACATCAAAGAACACTGAGATTACAAGTCAAGGTTAATAACTAGACTGGCAGCAAAGAAAATAATTATATCTGTCTACCACACAGTGGTGAGCTTACTGTGGATTGCAGCCACAGGATAACCCAGTCACTCATTTTCCCCTCCTCTTCTATAGCAGGATGGGGAGAAAATGACATGAAAAAGCCCATAGGTTGAAATAAAGACAGAGTGATCACTTAACAATTACTGTAATGGGCAAAGCAGACCTGGGGGAAATGTATCTAACTACTGAAATAAACGGGGCCAGGAGACTTCTTCTCCTTTTTAATGCCTTTATTAGAAGTTATCAGCTCAGGATTGGGCGGCCCGGTACGGCTGCAGTCCCCGTCGTGTCTCCCAGGGCGACTCAGAGGAGGAGGACATGCACAGCTCTGTCCGCTAGAGGCAGAGCCGGGGGATCCAATCCTCGTGGGAGCCTTTGGGGCGTGATGTCCCCTTCAGATCTTGCTCCTTTCAGCTTCTCAGCTCGCTGGTCCCGGCGTTGGGACGACTCTCTAGTCAGGGCGAGAGGGACTCCGCATCTCTGCAGGCTCAGCACTTGGCTCCTCATGTCCAGACACCACTTTAGTCTCTCAATTCTTATTTGGCTCGTTGTTTTTGGGGTTTTCTCGTTGCATTTTGAGTCGTGGTCCCGCAAAGCATTCTGGACTTTGGAGTCACTTTGCATAACCCCCCCCCACCCTCTCAGGTGTCTTCCCTCTGCCGGAAGAGAGCACAGCCTCAGGGAAGGGCCATCCACCCCACCCCAGCCAGGCCTTTTACTAATACAAAAGAGGAGATAAGCTTCAACGACCTGTGATTACAATAACAAAGCACTAAGAACCCTGGCAGAGACAGATCTGGCTGCGTCTCTGTAACTCTTTCTCACAAAAAAAATATTAACCGAATTTTTGTTCATAACACTACCAGTTAAAACGGATGTGGATGGTGACAAAGCCTAAAATTAACGTACCACCTTCTCTAGCCGCCACTTTCTGCCAAGTGTAGTTTCACTCCCTCTCCCATCCAGCCCTCAGGATATGGGCGATTCCAGCCGGCATATATCAGCTCCTGCTTGCCCTTCTGCTCCTCACGGAAGGCTCCTGTCCTCATCCCGCAGTCCTGCCCCCGAGCGAGAGCTGCACCGAGGGCCGCCCTCCTCAGGACCGCTCTCTTGACGGGACAACGGGCTGCTCTCCTCAGGGCTGCTCTCCCCAGGACCGCTCTCTTGACGGGACAACGGGCTGGCTACTCTCCTCAAGGCCGCCCTCGTGACGGGACAACGGTCTGCTCTCCCCAGGGTCACTCTCCTGACGGGACAACGGGCTGCTCTTCCCAGGGCTGTTCCCCTCAGGGCTGCTCTCCTCAAGGCCGCCCTCGTGACGGGACAACGGACTGCTCTCCCCAGGGCTGTTCCCCTCAGGGCTGCTCTCCTCAAGGCTGCTCCCCTGACGGGACAACGGGCTACCTTCCTGACGGAGCACGGGCTAGCCCGAGGAGGCCTCTCCTCGGGCCGCAATTCCTGCCCGGAAAGAGCGAACTGCTCCCAGCCTTAGCTGAGAAAGGATTGTGGTTGTGGTCAGTTTCAAACGCACCTGCTGATAACAAGGACGTTTTAGCTCCTCCCATTAAATAGGATAGTTGCCTCAGAAGAAAAAATGAGGCAGCTACAAAGCTGCCAGGCAAAAAGAGAAGGGAAGAGACCCTGCGGAAATTGTTTCCTGCCCAGGAGAATGGACTAAATTCCCTATGGAACAGAGGTAAGATGTGCGTCCTTCCAGGGAGGGAAAGAGGCTGTAGGCGTGGAAGGAGAGGACCTCTACAGTGAACGTGTGGGCTGCAAGAGGCCAAAGCTCTCTCTCTGGCCATGGTGGTGGCAGTAAAAGTACATAATGGACTAAGAGGGATTAAAACTTGGTGTGTGCCATGTAGTATAAAATATAAATAGGGTTTGAGGTTATTCATGTGTTTTGAATGTTTGGGATAGACAGTACTGTAGAGCTCGGTTGTTTGGGGTTTTTATTAAGTTCTCATTTCAGTTGTTTAAAATTTTCTGGGAACTTTCAAGATAAATTGTCAGAGCAGAACCAATACTTAGTATAAAAGAAATCAACAATTACAAGTGACTGACAAAGTTTTAACAGAACTGTTTGGTCTTGTTAATACCACTTTCAATTTAAGTCTCTCATTTAAGTGTTAGCAGATGATTTTTAAAGTGTGAGTCCTTATGCCTTTCATTTGGGTTTGTGCGTGGCTGGGCCGTGTAGAAGGAAGCTGGTGACCTTCAACAAGTGGGAGGTTTGCCCTCATTTCTCCATGTTTGTCTCTGAGTAAAAGTGAGTTTGCTGTCCGGTGTAGGTTTTGTTGATTGCAGAAAAATATTACTACATAAAATCATTAAGGCTGGGGAAGACCTCCATGATCATCAAGTTTTACCTTTGACCTCATGCCACAATTCCCTGGAGTCTAGAAACTTTCTTGTCAAAATTTGATGAAAAGTGGTGTCACAGTGTTACCCAGGCTGAAGAATCACACTGCTTTTAATACACAGAAGCTTGTATGTTATGATACTAAGTTATTTGTGGAGTTAGACTAGTGTTTTTTCCCTTAATATTTAAAGGAATACCTTTTCCCCTCACTGAATATTGTCTCCTTCTTTCACCTTCCCAAGCAGTTATATTCACTTAATGTTGTTACAGCCAGCATAGTTTTTACTGCTTTTGTATCAAAGCAGCATGCAAATAGGAAAGCCTGGTTGGTATTCATAGCTGTGTGGTAAAAGCTGCAGAGAACCAGCTCAGGAAGGGTAGCAGTCCAAGGTCTTGACCAGCAGTGCTTGAGTAAGCGGTATAGCCTCTTGTCATGTTGGTATTCTCTATCTCCAAATGACTTGTACTTTGATTTGAAGAAGAATTTAATAACTTTTAAGATTTAAGATTTTTTACTAGGCATATACCATAAAATAGGTCTAAATATTATTTGCAGATATTAACTAATAACCTTAATGTTTTTAAATAAATCAATTAACAAACAGAAGAATTCTGAAACAAGAAATGGCAGAAGCTTGATCCCAGGTGTTGGCTGAGCACCTCGTACATTGTGACTTAGTATTAAATTTTTTATCGTATTTGTGAAGATATGGAACAAAATTTTGTTTTAAAGGAGTAATATTAGCTTAAATTAATAAGAAAAAGCTGTGTAAGTAAATGTCAGGTAGTAAACTGAGTATACACCCCTATTTTAATGTGTTAGCATTTTCTAAAAGGTGATTACTGAATAACTCTGAAATGAAAATTTCTGTCTCAGGTGCTTATTAGCTTTTCTCAAAATCAGTTAACAGTAGGACTGAAATTGTGAGGACATTTTCTTTTTTTTCCTCTTTATGCTGCATTGAGACTATTTGTATCTGTAACTGAAGTCAAGATGAAGTAAAGTAGGTGGGCTTTACAGAAGGTAAATCAGTGTGATTGAAACATGTCATCATATCAATTAGGTATAAATCCTGTTTCTACCAGAAGGCCTCCAGTACCATCTTCAGATTTGATGTTTTTTCTTATTTGTCAGAGAACCGTTTAATAGGCAAGTGTCTGTTAACAGTAACTGAAACTGCAAAGCTGGAATTAAAGAAGGTAATAATCGTGTAAAGGAAAGGCCTGTAGAACTGCAGTTATGTTTTGCTCTTTTTTTTCTCTACATTACTTTAACCAATGTTTAATAGCACTGTATCTTATTTTTTACAAAATATTTTCATGTTAATTTCCTGCTTCTAGCTGAAAGCTTCATACAACAGTCACTACATGTCAGCACCTAAATCTTCATAATATTGTCATTCTCTAGTGAGTTTTGTTTTGTTTCAGACCATGGTTAGAGATCTTGCTCTGTATTCAATGTTGTCTTATTTTTCTTGTCAGTGCAAAATGTTTTCAAGGGGGAATAAACATTTACAGTGTATTGGTAGCAAGGCCATGGCTCTACATGAAACAAAGTTAACCTTGCTGTTCATCCATTAATTAAAGAATACAAAAGTTTTATTTTTCTCATTCTTGGTTTCTGTTTGCACATGATAATATATGCTTAATGGAATGGTCAAAGTCAGATGTATAAAAAAAAACCAACCCCAAAATGAGCTTTTTATTTAGTGGTAGATGTGTATTTGTTTCTTTAAGCTTGTTTATCCTGGTGATAAACTGACCTACCTTACCATTTGGATATATATTATAGACCTTTAAAAAATATGGAAAATTCTAAAAAAATTGTTAGGGTCAAAAATTCAGATCTCCATTAAGTTCCTTGAAGAAAGGGAAAAATAAAAGCAATAAAAATTCCCACCAATATAATTTAATGTAAGTAAATTCTTGAGCATGTTATTTTTATGTAAAGATATATTTTAATCATAGATGTAATT